GTTTGAAAAATTATTGCTAATTGCTCATATGACATTTTGTTAATTCATAAATAACTGAAAAAATTGAAAGAAGAAAACAGTTCCGTTAAATATTAGGGTCTGCAGTTTATAGTGTTCTCTGAGCTCCTTGGTTTAATTGCGGAGCTTTCATCGTCTTTCTGGACGACATCTTCAGCGCAGTATTTAGCATAAAGTGAAATGATTTAAATTTCTTCATGACTCTCCCGGTAACCATCTTTAGATATGTATTGACCGTGTTCTGTTGATTGGGATTTTAAACATTCTGATCACCTGATTTACTTCTTATTAGTTGGTATATTTCATCTATATTAACGTATGTATTAATTGCGTTTTCATTTTGAAGCCTGGTAGATTCTAGGAATTCCCTGGCACTTTTGGTTTTTCCTCTGTTTAAGATTTTGAAATTATCCGAATCAAATTGATGTTCATGATCGTCTGTATGCATTGATACTAAAGAATTTATATCATGTCTTTTCACGGTTGATTTGTGTTCCTGGATTCTTATTCGAAGGGGACGCCCACTTTGACCTATCTAATGCTTGTTACAGCTCATACAATTTATTTTGTAAATGGTGTTAGTTTCATCTCCCTTTTCTATCGGATCTTTTGGTTTGCATAAGATGGAATTAAGCGATTCAGCTGGTTTGTGTGCTACATCTATATCTAACGGTTTCAATTTTCTAGCCGTTATTTCAGAGATATTTCTGATATATGGTAGGATGAATTGCTTTTTGGTCTTTGGTGATGCTTCTTTGTTGGTGCTTTCATTCGGTTTTAAACACTTTTTGATGAAATTTTTTGGTAAACTATTCTTCTTGAACACCGTTTGTAAGTATCTTTCTTCCATTCTTTTCAACTCTGGTGTGCTACAATGTGTTTGAACTCTTCTGAACAATGTCTGCACACAGTTTCTTTTGTGAGTAATTGGTTTGTTGCTAGTATAGTTGAGTATTTGATCTAAGTGCGTTGACTTTCTATATACTTGTGTTTCTAAACTTCCTGTGTTGGTTCTCCTGATTAAGACATCTTGAAATGGGATTTTGTTATCTAACTCTTCTTCTCTTGTGAATTTGATGTCTTCAAATATGTTGTTTATTAATTTATGGGTATATTCTAAATCATTTCTCTTAATTATTACAAATGTATCATCAACGTAACGTACCCAGATTTTCTGTTTAATTATAGGTAGAGCTATTAATTTTAATCTTGACGGCATGATGGCTTCAGCTATTAATCCTGATATGGGCGATCCCATTGGTGTACCCTTTATTTGCTCATATATTTGAGTATTTAATTGGAAGTATGTTGTAAGGCATAATTCTATGAGTTCGATCCAAGTTGAACATTGCATTTTTATCTTCTCATCACTATAGAGTAATTGTTGCTAGTTTTGGACTAATTGAAGTATATAATGCTGTGACATCAAAGGACACCATTATTTCATTGTCTTCTACCTGAATGTTTTCGTATTTCTCTAAAAATTGGATTGATGAATTGATAGAATGGTCGCATGATTCTGTTAGGTAATTTAACTTCCTGAAAAGTTCTTTAGATAGATTATATGTTGGTGTTCCTGGAAGTGAAACAATTGGTCGTTAGGGGATGTTCGGATTGTGTAGTTTGGTCTACCATAAAATCGAGGTAAAATGGGTCCGTTAGATCTCATTCGCCATTGATCTTGTTCTGAAATTCGTCCTAATTTCGTTAGTTTATTTAACGTTGTTCTGATTTTGTTATCGAATGTTTGTCTAGGGATTTTTTGTCAACTGTTGATATACATTATTATCTTTGAGTAAATCCTCTGCTTTCTTTATGTAGTCTTCTGTGTCCAGGATTACTGTTGTTCTTCCTTTATCAGTCGGTAGAATAACTATATCTTTTCTATTCTTCAGTTTCTTCAATGCATTTTGATAATTTGAATGATGATTCTAATGAAGCACAAAAATCTGTTACTGAAGCGTCACCAGTATTGTAGTTGAGTCCTTTCTGAAGAAGATGTTCTTCGGCTTTCGATAATGGCTGTTTCGATAAATTTACTACGCAATCGTTTAGAGTTTCTTCAGATGTTTGTTTGGATATCTTAGCTAGTTTGTCTCTGAGGAAGGCTCGTCTTCGCTCCTTGTGCCGTCCGCTTATCAATTTAATGGCAGTATTCAATGTTGACAGATGTTCTGGGGTAAGAGTATGTTCACGCCTCTCTTTCTAAAATCTAATCATATGCTGGTATTTTTTAATCCGATTGTGTGCATCCGTGATCATTAATCTCACCATTTGTTTTCCATGTTGTTTGGCTAACTTCCAGCCTAGAGGGCAGTTGATTGGTGGTTTATATCTGACAGAACCTGGTAGGATCTGCTGGCGGAGACGTTCATGAAGAAAGAATAGTTGTTCTTCTGTAGAAACTTGCCGTTTAGCAAATTCTTCCCATTTTCGACAGAAAAGAAGCGTTTCACGCTCGTAAGATTTTGAAATAATAGAAAAGATTTGTGATTCAGGTGGATGATTTGCAATTGATAGTATTCTCTGAGTTCCTTGGTTTAATTGCGAAGCTTTCATCGTCTTTCTGGACGACATCTTCAGCGCAGTATTTAGCATAAAGTGGAACGATTTAAATTTCTTCATGAGTCTCCCGGTAAGCATCTTTAGATATGTATTGACCGTGTTCTATTGATTGGGATTTTAAACATTCTGATCACCTGATTTACTTCTTATTAGGTGTTGGTTTGAAGAGATTTGATTGGTTTCAGGATTTCATCTATATTAACGTGTTTATTGATATCAGGGTCACCTAATAACCAGTCAAGTAAATAAATTAATATATGAATACCTGACTAGGTGAATGACATACACGCTGACTGAATAACTGAACACGCGAATAAATAATTAACAAACTAAATCAGTGGAATCCCTCGAAATAAAAAGTGACCACACTAACAAATAATTAACTAGCTGAATAAACAAGAAACCACCTAACCATTCAACCACCTAACTAGCTAACTAACCAACGAAATAACTTAATAGCCTGCAAATTTGATGAACAAGCGATTAATTTACTGGGTAATTGAGCAGTCTACTAAATTACTGGGTCAGTAGCTAAATAAAAATATCCGAAATAACCAAACGACAAACTAACTAAGTCTTCTTCAACCAGCTACAATTTACTTAACGGATGCATGCATTTGCTGCAGTCTACGCGTACATTGTGCGTCGGTGTCATAGCGGTTAGGACTCTCGCCGACCATGCACATGATCCGGGGTTCGATCATCGGCCGACGCACTCCGTTACCTCACTAGGCCAGAAATAATGCTGGTAAAGTGGAAGGGTTGGGCGTGAGGCTAGCAACTTCATCCTGTAAAATACATACTGCTACAGAATCATCAAGCTGCTAGCTTGAAGCCCTATGTTCCACTGATGAACTTGAAGGAAAAAGAAAAAGGAGACACGTAGAATAATACTGTATCTAATTCTTTCAATAGTGAAATCTCTGACAGCACCACATGACGTGGAGTTTTCAAATTAACAGATGTGTGCAAACAATTATAAGTAATTGCTTATTCAAAGTGTAGACAAGTTCTAAATGACTGACAAAATAACAAACAAATTGATTCGATTGAATAACACACTCGTTTATTATCCAACTCAATAACTAACTAACAAACTTACCAACTAACTGATTAGTTGCCTAGCTATTCAGCTACGCAACTTACGTTGAACAAACTTGACAACTGAATAGCATTCACACCGAATGAATAAATTAATGAACAACTGAATCACAAACTCACTAACTCAATAATCAAATCAGTGGCTCATTTAATCACATGAAAACAACAGAATAGCTGTCTAACTCTTTCAACCGACGTAATGACTGAAATGCTAATCATCATATTAACTAACCAATTGAATAGCCAACACACTTACTAACATACCATCTGCCTGAATATCCAAAGAAATGACAGACTCAATAAATGACTAACCAGGAAACTAAGTGAATAGCTTACGAACTAAACGACTAACTAACATACTAACTTGTTGCATAAATAAACTTGAAGTAACTAAGAAACTGTCTAACTATTACACTAACTTTGAGGCAAATAGATAACGAACAATTTCACTGACAAACTCACTGAATAGTCGACTAAATTAATAACCAACTTAAAAATTTTCTATCCACCAAATCAATTAACTAAACATGAACCAACAGACTAAAAAAATAATTAGATAACCATCGGCCTAACTCAATAGCTTACCAATTTACTTATTACTAACTAACTAACTAACAAACTGATTGCGATTAAAAATAAGTAATCACGTTTCAGCTGTGTAACTAACTAACTAACTAACACGGAATTGAATTACCAAATCATTCATCAGTTGAATAACCAACACACTGGAACTAGCTGAATCAAAATGTGGCTAGACTTCTAACTTAATAACTCACCTTCAAACAACCAACTGACTAACCATTCACTTAATTACCTAAGTAATAACCTACCAAACTATCTTACTATCCATCTCACTTTGCACTGACCAACTAACCTGAAACTAACAAATCTACAACCTAACTTACTTATCTAATTGCTTGCCTATTCACTTGACTACTTACCTACCCACTCACTTTGTTACTTGCTTACTCAATCACATGCTTAGTTAATTTCTCACTCTACGTGGGAACAGTGAAATCTAATACAAAGAAAACTTATTTGAATTATCCTGTGTTAATCGCAAGTTAAACTTTAAGATATTTAATGTGTGGGAATTGTTTCGATATAGTTAGTTACACAGGCGTACAGGTAACTAGTACAAGCAATTGTAACTGTGTCCTCGAATTTCTTTTGTGAACCTCAGATGAGATATTCACGCCATAACACAAAATGCGCATTAATATAAGATGTTCAGAAGTACATCCGATTTCCCATACACTTTCTCTCACCGCCCCCCTCTCTCTCTCTTTTCTCACATTCACTGGTCACCTGTAGAGTATAAATAGTGGTGTGATTTTTCAGTTGTTTGCTGTTCAACTGAACATCGCTGCACACCAATAACATGGTAAAGAAAAATTGTTTGATACTGGCGTTTGTTTGGACGTTGTTTCAATGTAAGTGATTTTCAGTGTTATCATGTAAATTTGTATTGCACATACTGCCCTATATTTTTATATGATTCCTTAGTTCTGTGTTTGTTCAGGAGCCGATACTGTGCGTATTTCCGTCCAATTAACGCGAGACACAACCAGGTCGTTGTGGGACCTCCTGGGTCTCCTTTTGACTTTATCGGACAATAGAGTTGACTGTTTTCAATAACACTGAACCATTAAAGTCGATAGGATATCGGTGGAAGGGCACCTGTGAGTGATAATATTATGCAGCGCGTACTTTCGTCACGACCATTTGTGATTTTACAAGTGATAGACGGAAAACATGCACTGGCCACCAGCTCCGATTTTATCTACCTATCTATCCATCCATGTATCTATCAATCGAGGCGCTACTGTTGAGTCAGTTGTATTGGTCCATGTTCAAGACACTCACGTTTTTAGGCTGTGGGACACCAGCGGGTGTGGTTAAATAAATCTGTAATGAATACAGTTCAATGTGAGACCACTCTGACCAAAGACGTCAAAGACGCCTGAATTGAAGGTTGTTTTTCTATCGTATGTGGAGTTGCAAATAAATCGCTAGAAGCATCTGAAGTACCAAATACACGATACGAAAGAGGTTAATACAATTTGCCTCAAACAAGCGTTGATATGTGTGCCAAAGGAACAACTCCAGGCACTGCTGTCTCTCTTGATGTATTTTACCACTGACAATTGTCAATCAACTGCAATCTATCGGGATTACTGATCCGATTTCATTTTGTTGGTAGTAGTTGTGTTTAGCTGAATAATTCTCTAATGAATGACAGTGGATATATAGCTGAAGAATCAGGAAGGAAGGTATTTATGAAAAAGAATATTCTTTGTACACTAATCAGTCTTTTTTATTTGAGCGCCTGTAATTGATTAATTTCAAAGTCGTTTAATTTCATTCTGTCAATTTCATTACAGTTTCCTACGTCCTGTGCAATGAAATATCTTCGGCCAAAAGCAGTAAGTCATGCTGAAATTGTTCTGCCGACGACTTGAATTTAATTTCGACTACATTGACTTTCAGTCGTTCGTGTTGATGAGTAGTTAATTTTTTCGCGTGAATCATAGTTGACGAATTATCATCCTCGTGTATACTTGTGCAACCACAAACATACATGCACAGAATGCTAGTCTAACGCGAGGAGATAGGTGACGGGTAAACGGATCTTTCTTATCCACATTAGAATTCTAAGGGTCAAATGGGAGGGGGGTATAGGTATTTCTGATTAGTTGTTCATCGGTTAAGTGGTCAATAATGTTGTCTAATGCAGTTAACGGATGTCCACAGCTTAAAGCGAAACCACGTTTGATGAATAAATACTTCCACAACTGTAGCTATTCACTCAAAATTACGATTTCAGTTTCATCAGCTTATTATCCATCTACATTAGACTGCATACACTATTTCTATTGCTATTCGCTAACCGATTATATATGTTTGAAGCGGCGTAGACATCAGAGAGTAAAATTAATTCTTTCGCCATGGCCGATATCACGTAGGGATTATAAATGGTGTTCCCCACATTCAAGGTACGACATGTTTCTATGTCAGAATCGGTTATACGAAGATGACGTTAGTCAGCTTCACACTTGACTACTTCATGAAACAATGTGGTAAGAGGAGATCTGATCAGCGAATGCACATTTGTTCCGAGTGGAATACATGGCCTAACCAGCACATCTTCACTGAACTCACTTCTCCGCAAACACTTCCATCTTGTCTTGTGATTCCCAACTAGCTTCCGTTCCCTTCTTACGATTTTTTCTTCATGTCACCTTCACAGAGACGTCGCTGCACACCTTGGTTCAAACCAGAGGCTTGCCTAATATGCGATGTGCCTTGAAACCAGTTGGTCATTACGTCTTTTTGGCAAACTGTTGAATTGACAATTAGGCTCACTGGTTATTGACAATTAGTGGTTAAACAAAACAAAGATTATGAGAACTAACAATGATTGAAAGTCACTGTTAGATGGTGAAATTCGTAATAAGACACTGCCTTCACGTATCCAGCCAGATGGTGTGTCGTTAACTACAGGACTTGAAAACCAGTTGGAATCATGGAGACAGGCCTTCATTACACTGAAATCAATTTGTAAATCTTCTACACTAAGTATATTGAAAACGAATTGATTTGAAACATCAACGTTGAGTCAGTTCTACAATATGGTTTAGTGACTTGACAAGTAGTTCAACCGTCTAACTTTTCAATAATTTTATCCAGAATGAAGAGGAAACGCTATGTTAATATCAGTGTTTATATTTGCCAAATGAAAATATTATATCCAAATTCCCTCACTTTGTGTTTACCTTTTTTCTACATTCTAGCTGAATTGAACAGTTTGATCAAGCGTTACAGTGACCTCTTTGGTCGTTACAAGGCTTCTGAATGTGAGTGAGGTCAAATCTAGGATGATCACGTGTTGGTTGATTGGGATTTGATTGATTTCAAAGGTGATCGAGAATGGATGTCGGTTGGAGAAGCATTGAACAGTCAACGGAGTGATGGACACCTAATTCACACTCCTTCGACATCATTGATCACTACACTGCACATCACCTGCACAAGGATTGAACCGAAGGCTCACGTATTAAAAGGTGATCCCATAGATAATACACACATTGGAACGGTATTCAAAGCCTGGCCAGTAAAATCAAACTTTGACCTATTCGCCACAACCAGTATTTGTAGTGTGAACCTGCTGAGTGCACACTACTGAACTGTTTGCAAAGAAAGTTGAAACAACAGTCCCTGTTCTGTAATGGTTCTCTAATCGACATCATTCACTACGTGATTACTTATGAAATATTTTAATGTAATAATCTGCTTTACAGGCGCTGCATTTTTGGTAGTCAGCTCACCAGAAATCAAATGGACTCTGAAGGAATTTAACGATGGTGAGATATTTAAGCTAATTTCAGTAATAGTAATTATGGTCATAACAACCGTGATACTTTATTCAATGAAAAACTATTGATATTTGTCGACTGGTTGTGAGAGATTGAAGAGAAGAATGCAGGATTCGTTACATTCAGAAATGTTTTCAGTTTGGCGCGTAATCCATTCTTCCAGGTTTGGTTATGGAGTGATGCCAGTTAGAGAAACGGTGAAAATGACCTGGAAGAACCGGACAGTAGTATCATCCCCGTTTGAGATTCTGCAGCATTTATGTAAAAACCTGATGAAATGCCACATTCATGGTTGTCAATACCAATCAATGTTATAAGAGCAGTTAAATAGGGATATCTGAATGACGTATTATAGTGATGGATACTTTATACAAATGCGTTATTATCCGGAAACAAAAGAAAAGAAAGTTGAATGTGGTTTTACGTAGAATCTTTCAGGGAATACAACAGAAAAAATGGGTAAGAAGAACAAGCAAACAATGAACAAGCCAACAAGGTTGTGGGCATGCAAGTAGAAGTGGTTGGATAATGATATCCACTCGTGTGCATAGACTTGAGTTTTCTTTCTGAATGGCTACAACTTCAGCAAAGGGTAGAGGTGAGGAAAGTGTATCGTGATTAGCAGAGAATTGACCTTCATTTGTTCACGTTACTTCGAAGATGGAGTTCGATGAGATAGAATAACGTATGTCTGACCAAGTGTTCAACTATCGAAGTCCTCGTAAATCAACTGTCGCCATTATTATGACAAGTTAACACTCATCGGTTTTCGTGTATTCATGACAAAATACACATGAATGCGATTGTAGAGCTGATGAAGAAGGTGATTTCGTTGAAGACAGCCTCTTTGCTGAATTTATTCTCTTGTAATCTTGCAAAGTGATTCACTGATTCATGACAAAATGCAGGAATTTTGCACTTGACTTTCAATTAGTGGAAGTGATTCGTAATCTGCTCGCATTGTCTTCTTCACATACTTTCCATATTTTATTCTGCAGTGAACTGACTCCGTCCCTGAAATTTTTCTGGCTCATAAATTGTCTTTGAAACATTGTCATCCAGTTTATGATGCTGTTTCACCATGTGTGAGACATGCAATCACATGCTAACACCACAGCCTGCCACTTTAACACATATGCTGTGATTATTTTCTTATTGATGTTGTCAACGTTATTTTCTCTGTCTTTCAGTTATACGCGACACCAAGTTGCAGATATTTGCGAACACGTCCGTGGATTATCTGAATAGTGAGTACTCATGTTGTCTGTCAGCGAATTATAATCATAAAACAGCACTCAGTAGTGTTAATCAATATTATCATAAGACATGAAAACAACGTACAACTGAGTGAATCAAACGAGTGCTCGTAGAACACTCGCACCAACAAACATTAAGGCTTGTTAGCAAACCAGGTCAAATGGATCTGAACATCACTGCCTGCCTATTCGTTTCCTTCTGGTTGCGGGTTTGTCAGCAGTGTTACAAGTTTACATCAGCTCAAACCACCAGATTTCCGGCTGGCTACTTCGGCGATACTGAAATTATTCAAGCCACTAATTGTGTGTATTGCGTTTGATATCAGTAATGACAACCGGTGAAACCGACCACTAATTTCACTGATATGAATAGCGTCATACAGGAATTAATAATTTCCATTTCTAGATTGCAAATATGCACAATTAATCACCAGAGACTTGTGTAAACTACGAAGTGATTTGCAAATTGTCAATATGATTTCAGTTCATTGTGAAGCTCAATCACTAAATATGTCCCCCACTGAGACAGTGACATGCACATATGTATCCGCCTATATCTCATGCTTATTTTGTATCCAAATGAGTCATGAGTGACATTTTCATTGATTACAGAACTGAAAAGCGAATACACTTGGAAGAATGTAAACGAAGTATCTTACCTGTATCATGACTATATAGGTATGATTTATTTTCAGAGTAACTGCTTTTAACGTTAAGAACTATTTTATTATTATTATTGTATCTTTTAGTTCCTAGAGGAACATAGGGCTTCAGCTGCGCACCTCCATTGCCTTCTGTTTTCTGACAACTTTTTCACCCTGCTTTAGGTCTGTCCACATGCTTTCATCTCCTCCTCGCATGACCTCCTCCTTGGACGACCAACTCGCCGCCTCCCTTTCGGGTTCCACTCGAGGGCTTGTCTAGTGATGTCACTTGATGGTTTCCTCATAGTATGGCCAATCCATCTCCATTTCTTCCTGCCTATTTGTTTCAAAATCGGTTCCCGATTGGTTCGCTCACTGCCAGAGATCCCTGTTGCTGATATTTTCTGGCCATCTTATCTTGAGCGAAGTATTCAGCGAAGACAGCTGTTAATGAAGGTTTGAAGTTTGTTTGAGATGTTCTTTATGACGCGCGAAGTCTCTGATCCGTATAGTAGTACTGACTGACCACATTGGAGTTGAAGATCCGGATCTTATTTTTAATGCTGAGTGCTGTTGACCTCCACACAGATTGAGAGTAATGAAAGCTTGTCTTACTTTTTCGATTCTAGCTTTGATATCCTCGTCAGTTCCACCTGTAGTTGAGACGATACTTCCAAGGTAGTTTGTGCAGGTTGTTTCTTTCAGGTTCCTCCCATTTATACTGATTGTTGTATGTTGGTGTTGGCAAGGAATCTTCATCACCTCTGTTTTATCTATGTTCACTTGAAGTCCTGTCTTTGATGCTTCTTCTGCCAGTTTGTTCCTTTCACTTGCATCTCTTCCAGTTTATGGGAAATCAGACATATATCATCGGCGAAATCCAGATCCTCCAAGTCTTTTGTGTCAGTCCATTTTATGCCTGTCCCCTCGTTGGTTGCCGTTGTCTGTCGCATTATCCAATCAATTGCAATCAGGAAGATCATTGGTGATAGTAGACAGCCTTGTCGCACTCCCGTCCTCACTTTGAAGGCTTCCGTAAGTTTCGCGTTGTGGATTACTTGGCATGCAGCATTGTCGTATAGCTGTTGGATGAGATGTATAATTGTCGATGGCACCCCTTGGTAGTAGCAAAGTAGTTGACAAATGACCTCTCGATCGACGCTGCGCCGTCGAAGGCCTGTTCAAAGTCAATGAAGTTGAGATAGAGAGGTGACTGCCATTCCAAGCTTTGTTCAATGATGATCCGTAGAGTGGTGATTTGGTCAATACATGAACTGTTTCTCCTGAATCCGGCCTGCTACGGACGAAGTTTTTGATCCAGGGCTTGTTTGATTCTTTCTAGGATGATGCGACTTAGTATCTTGCTTGGAATGGACAGAAGCATAATTCCACGCCAGTTCTTGCATTGACTTAAGTCTCCTTTCTTTGGGAGTTTGAATAAGTATCCATTCTTCCAATCCTCGGGTACTTTGCCCTCTTTCCACACCTCCAGTAGTGGCGTCATCAAGTCCGCTGTTGTCTCTGGGTCTATTTTCAAAGCTTCTGCTGGGATTCCATCTGTTCTTGGTGCTTTCCCAGCTTTAAGCATCTTGATGGCATTCAGGACTTCTGACTTCGTCGGGGGTCAATGTTCACTGGTAGTTCTGCTTCCGTTGTTGATATTGTTGATCGCGTTGTGGGTGGCGGACGATTTGGAAGTCTTTTGCAATGTTCAGCCCAGTGTTTTCTTTGTTCCACTTCTTTGGTGATTGACTTTACATTGTTGTCCTCTATTGGCCTAATCTGTGTCGAACTTTTGGCCGAAAGGTGCCTAGTTGTTTTGTAGAGTGTGTCGAGGTCTCCTTTGCCTGCAGGTTGTTCTGCTTCGTTTGCCATGGTCTCATAATATTTTCTTTTGTCTTCCCTGGCACGTTAAGAATATTAAACAAAATTGAGATTGTATACTTACAGGTGGGGAAACTGACATAATAAACTCTTGAAAAGAAATAATTCCAGGACTGCGATTCAATCACAATCAGACTACTTAACAGGTTCGATCCCCAGTTGATTGATGTCTGTTTGTGGACCATTAAAATCCATTTGGGAGAACTGGACAACTGTTTTATCATAGTTTGTCATTGTTCAAAAGTATGCATCTACGAACCAACACATCAGGGTTGGGAACGAAAATCTTCAGATCTCGAGGTGATATCGTTGACAACCCAGTCATTGGGAGGTTGTCCAGTCACCTACTCATCAATGTCGATAGCCTACACGGAAGTTCCTGTGCTCAATCTCTGTTTAATGGCTTCGTGCAATGAGAGTTGTCTACTAAAGCCTTGAGCTACTTAAGAATCCATGGTCATTATATTGCATCTAATTTCATGCATACACTTGGTTTCAAACTATTAACCTACTAAGATGTGATTTCTTGTCGGATTGTTTGAAGTCTTCGAAACCTGTGAATTTGAAAATTTTCACTAAATCCGAGCAAAGGCATCGTTCTTGGTGGTTGCGTGCCTTAAAACTTACTTCATTACATCAAGTGATGCTTTTTGAGATCATGAGAACAATCTTTAGTTCTCTGATCAATGAAACTAACTGTCTGCAGGCTCACATGTCTTCTTGTGTGAACTGCAATACGAGGAGTATAACTCTTCACGAAACCTGGTTCTATGATGTAAATAATGATCTTTTAATCTGTCTGAAGGTTTTAGGCCGTTTAGACAGCATCAGTGTAGCTCTGGAAAACATGGTGTTTCCGTTGCGACCCTCATCAATCCTCATTGGTGGTACACTTACAATAACGCGCAGTTCAGTTTCTCAAGTGAGAAAATCGACTGCGATAATGTAAAAATGTCTGCTGAAGTATCTGCCTGTCAAAGAACAACAATAACTACATCTCGAACAATTATATTGCGTCTGATTGCAATCTCATTTGCTGATAAATTCACTTCTTTGGCTTCTACCCCGTATGCCAAATCTTTATCGATAGTTACTGGAGATTTCAGTGACTTCCACTGCAGGTTCTTCATGTTGACAGCTCGAGGAAATGTTATTCCTGTGAGTCTAGTGTTGTATATGGCACTGCAAGTCGAATGTGGAATAACTTGGAACATGCCTTTGCTCCGATATCGCTAAGTCTCTTCACTGACAGTTTGTTGACTTTTGCGTTCTACCTATGTTGTTTTATTTCTCCTCCTCAATTTCTCTCAGACTATTTAAGAACCACTTCGTTAGATTTTGAAGAGGTGTAAAAGCGGTTTGTGTGGTGATTGAGACGTCACCAAACCACCTTGTTAACACTGGTGATGATAGTTAAGGGAACTGACACAAGAGATCAGCGAATATCATCTTGTCCAACTGTGAGCAGCCTCTCTATACACAACTCTCTCATCTCACTTCATCAGAGAGGACTGGAAGCAATAATCAAAATCCCTATGCTCCGACAACTAAGTATAACGCTCCGAAAAACTAATTTTTCAAAATTATTCGTTGCACACATAAAAATCGTATGTGTTATATTGAGGTAGCTCAACTTGGAATATCTACCGACATTTCCTATTGTCTGTTCAGAAATGTTGACACCTCTATTTCGTTTCCATTCTGTGTCTCCAATTTAATGTAATGCACTGAATATTTAAACACATATCGGAGCGCATATTGAATAAGCTTGGTCAGTGAAAATAGTGTTCGTATTTATCTACTCCTCAGGTCAATTGAAAGACGTCGAAGAGTACCACAGTGAGTTGATTGATATCCCAGATAAATATTCAAATATATGGGTATTAACAGATGAGCCTATTTATCTCTAAATACGCATATGCATATTACGATGTATAGATATATAGACAGATCAGTGAGAGGAAGTTTGATCCAGAGATGGAAACATTTGAAAGAGACATTTTACTACGGCATAAGCAGTCATGCATTTTCCACTCTTAAATTTACAGTGTTTGTTGTTTTTCCAGACAGTACTGTATTTGAAAAAGTGTGGACCAAAATGGGGAACATGAAAGTTACAGTTAACCTACATGCAGGTAACGTCTGATCTTGATGATGAAGTATTTTCCATTATATGTTTCTCGTGTTGTGCCAGGCGGACCGATTTTCGATTCCCCACTGCAACACACCACTGTTCTTTACAATTAATATACACCACCTTGACAACATCATCACAAATCAGCAGCCGCAAACACAGTATAATCAACTCCTTTTTAAAGACATTTGGAGAAATCGAATTCTCTGTCACCTCCACAGAACATGATCATGACACCTATTTACTCGAAATAGATCTATTAATCCAATACACCTGAGGTTTTGCCAGTCTCAGATCACCAGCAAAATCCTCAACAACGCCCAACCTAATGGTGACAGTTGGTTTTATTCTAAAACACCATTGAACATCGTCAGCTTATATTCAGATTGTCAATTGGTAATATGTGAAATTGATTTGTTGGGTGTGAATTTTGTGCAATTTGAGATCCTTCAGTTGGAATTGTGTGGATTCTCTCCAGTTGGTGATATTGTTTCTGCTGATACTCGAAAGCAGTATTCATCATTTCAAATAACGTGGTGTTATCCACTACACCACTTGTGCAACGACAGCCGCCTCTTGTGAAATCCATATCAGCTTTTGCTTCTTTTCAGTGAATTTCGATTTTCCCGTTGACTTATTCGAATGAAATGTTCAACCTGTGCGGGAAGTCTACCACCCACTGGGGAATGCAGGTACGTCCAACTGACGAGTTCTGAATGACACGAATCAAACATCATGGATTTGACTGCTAATCACCACCAATCAATTCTTTCACCGTAATCCACGGACTTCGTCAGGGCGTCTCTACTATGAGCCGGCAAATCAACAGAGGTCAAATGTTTCTGCCTAATCAATCAACAGGAAAATTGAAATCAAATTAAGGTAGATATTTGATTACACGTGAATAAGAATTTGTGTTTCTGAATAACAAGCTGAATCTAACACTGTATTCTACTGATGATTTGCAGTGTTTGAAAACTACTTGAAATCCCTTGGCAATGCATGGACAGCTAGGAAGGATCTCTACACGACAGCAGGTTAGTAGACAGAGTATGGCCGTTGTTGTTGTGGCTTCTTGCAAATTCCATCCACAGCTCACTAGTTTTCAAAGTGTTTTAAACAAAATGCTTATTACCAACATAAGTCACAGTCTATTGTCACTTAGCAGTAAAATAAATAAAAGTGTATGAGAAATAACAGTGTATAAAGTGAAACTCGAAAAACTCTCGTAATCACACCAATTGTCAGGTTGTTCGTTACGTGATAAGGAGACTTTGAAACAAGATAACTACGAATCGAACTGATGTCACAAAAATTGATTGACTATTAATCCATGGCAAACTCAGGAATATCAGGACATTGTGGCAGATTTGCTTACAATGTCATGAAAATTCAAAGACTTACAGTCAGCGACCAACCATTAGGCTGAAGTGGTTGGAAGTGAAAGTAACACGTTGAATAACGATAGAGTAGACAGAAATCATGAGGATAACCAACCGGTCAATCACTGTCTGTGTGAGAATTTTGAAAAATATCCCTGCCATCACTCAATCAGCCAGACAATATGGTTTCAACTTCAGATATCACGAGAGATGAGGGTTTTGAAACCAGTCACTATCAGAAGGGCAACACAGATATTCATGATTGTGATATCAGTTTTAAAATCTTCTACACTTAGTCATCAGAAGGAAAGAAATTCAGATTATTCACACACGTGTTAGATCAGTTATTCTATATGGTTCATTGACTTGACATGCGCTACACTGAAATCATTTCCAGCAGATTATTGCTGACTTTGATAAAAAGCAGAAGTTTCTGCTTTGTTTCAAAGGTCAGATGGCAAGAATACATTTTGCTATTACCTATTTGTTTATTTAATTTGTTCGTTCTTGATTCGATCGGAGGACACTGTGTCAAATCTCAGCTTTAAACTTTCAATATCTGTGATGTTTTCTAAATTGTGTGATTCACTGCCTAATACTCATCAGTCCCACTGCGTTGAGCTTACAGTCAACCGAGTGTGGCAAAGGGTGTGTGTCTTCTGGAAGTGAAAACCCAGACCACATGCACGTTTTGCATGAATTCTAGCATTGAATCACCGATGAACGCAGAGGGAATTACCGACAAGCAACTCTGGGAACAAATTTACCAATAACCAATTCCTCAATCAATATGATGAAGAAAATGACAAGGATTAAACATGCAGTAAAGACACCATCGAATGATATCACGCGCCAGTGATTCACTCGAGGGTCAACGTGACGCGAGATATCTTTGAATCGAAGTTAGGAGCACAAGAGTTCTCTTTGCCATTCCTAATCACTTATCGTAGTAGTTAGAACAGTACTTAGACAATTGAGGCGACTGTTAGGAGGAGTAACCCGCCAAGTATTTATTTGAGGTGTATATGCATTTTGCATGTTGAAACATTGTCAGTGAACGATTTAACTTGAATGAGAATTAGGCCGAACTGTTGACAGGATGGTCATAGTAGTTGTTGAAATTGTAGTAGTAGCAGAAGCGTGGAGAACAGCATAAAATAGAGTTTCAAAATAGTGAGAAATAAAGCGAGTGTGTGAGGTTTAAGTCTAAACTGTAACACCAGTCTACTCAAGCTTAACTCCTCAAATCTTCTCATCACATGAAACTGCATGGATTACTTTGCAAATGAAGACCATTTTTCTTTCATGTGGTAAATCTCACTGACCTGCATACCCTAAACAGTAGCAACTGTTGGCTTACGATTGGTAATTATAATCACATACACTTTCATGAAATAAAATTTGACGAAACACATTCTTGATGTTTTGTATTGACAGCTGTGTACTACAAAACCGACAACACGCAGAAGGATGACGACATCACTTCTGGAAGTGAGTGAACAGAAGTAATCGAAGTGTATGTGCATTTATTTATTGACAAGGAAACAAATAAGAGGTATGGTTCTAGGCTAACATCAGTCAGACTATCAGCGGAAGTAAGCAGGGTGTACTGGACAGTCGCTGCGATGATTGAGCAGTCGGCTCTTTACCCCAATATCATGCACTTTGAAAATGTCTTCGAAAGCGTCGATCAACAGATTTGGAGACTATGTTTCTAGCTCAGAGCAACGCCAACACTTCGAAGTGAATACACGAGTTATACAAGTCAGCTGCCAACTATCTCCAATGATTTTGCTGACTGTAATCGATGGATAATGCGACAGACAGACAGACAGGCAGAGGGCAGCGAGAGAACTGTCCCAGAATGGACCATCACAAAATGGTGGAGCATCTGGACTTCGATGATTTATGTCCGATTTCCCACACACTGAAAGATATGCAAGTGGAAAGTAACAATTCGGTGATATAAGAAGCATCAACGAAAGAAGTGTATTCAGGCGAACACAAAGAAAACATGGTTGACGAAGATTCCTGGCCGACATCAACAGCAACAATAACAACTGAAAATAATTAGCAAAAATGGGATAAATCTGAGAGAAGCAACCTCTTTTACCCACACTACCTAGTAAGCATCATTTCAACTACAGGTGGACGGAACTGATGAAGATATCTGAGCAGCGAGGATGAGGAAAACCCAGACAAGTTTTCATTACTATGTAGTCTACATAGAGATCAACAGCACTCAGCATGGAAAACAAGATGCGGATTTTTAACTCCAATGTTAGGGAAGTGCTACTATGCAGATCAGGCACTTGTTGGGTCACGAAAGAAACCTCGAAGAAATTGTGGACGTTTATCACCAGCTGTCTTCTTTCAACACTTCGCTCAAGATCAGATGGACAGAAGAGATTAGGGATATGTATGTGTGGAAGCAAACAAACTCGACAAGAACCAATTGGGCGAAAAATATTTAGGAAGAAGTGGAGTTGTATTGGTCGTACTCTATGAAGAAAGGATCAAGTAACACCACATACCAGACCATTACTCGAGTGAAGACTGAATAGTAGGCGGCGAGCTGGTCGTAGGTTCGAAGCTGCCACAGTGGAAGTGATACGAAGAGGAGATGAAAGTATGTGGACAGACGTGCAACCAGTTGGAAAATTTGGTCGAGAACCGAACGCAACGGAGACTTGCGGCTGGAGCCCTATTCTCCTCTCGGAACTAAATTACAAATGTGCATGTGTTTGTCTAAAACGTACACGCACACACGCACATGATGTTAAAACTTCGTATTGAGAAACAACTTTATTTTCCACATATACTCAAACCTACAACCAGTTAATTTCATTTTCGCCTTACACTATTGAAGTGACAATTATTTAAGCATTGACTTCTGCACTTCATTAGATGGAACCATTACCGCAGAAGAATGGGGAGAAATTATTGAAAGGGAATTAATCAAATCAAGAGGTAAATAAATATTTGAACAGATGCCAAATTTAAAATACTTTTCCTACTTGAGTTATGCAGAAGCCATGATTTTTGGCAGTCATTCATGGGTTGTTGAGAGGACTCTCGAGCGACTGAGGATGGTGCCAGTGAGACATTGAGAGCTCCTCAACCAAACTGTACAGCTCAGTGAACACAACTACACCAAGAACACTCATCCAACGTTGACCTATAATCCTACAATATCGCCTAAATTCTACTCATATATTATCTACATTATTTGAGCATGTAGTTACTCAGGCATGATGAACAGTAAGCCTCATGTGCACCTGCTTTCCCTGTAATGTGTAAGTGTGGGTGCTGAGACTGATCGATGATATCTGTGCACGCGGAACATCAATTCCATGTTGCCTGTTTGATCGTATTATCTTGAATTTCGCTTCATTTCATTTATATCTCTACAGAGAAATTTGAGCAAGAATGCTTGCGAATCTCGAGAATTCAGCCCAATGAAACTTGTAAGTCCCAGTTTATCTCCTCATTGACAAAAAGCTGCAATATCAGTGACATCATCAGATATTAACACCAATGAGATCAATGTATTATTTATGGTTTAATGTGACATCTGTAATTCCCATTTGTCACCATAAAATCTTCTTGTGACAGATATGCAAGGGTGAATAAAATGTCTGTATTGAGTCGGAATTCGTCATGACTGTTATGGGAGCGTTTATACTGCTGCAGTGATAGGGAAGCATTGCTTCTGTGCACCATAAAGTACTGTGATTCATCCATGCACTTGCACATTTATCCATACATTCATTCCAGTGGTTGGTCATCTTCATCACCTCCGTATTCTCTGTGGTTACTCAAAGTTATGCATTCTTCATCTGCCACATCTGCATGAAATGTAATTTTAACTGTAACTGTTCGATGTTTTGTGACACTGAAGGTGAATCGTTCGTGAAGTTCAAGTATATCACGTAATCACCGATGAATATTTGATGTACAACTCTACAATGACCCATCAACTAGCTCTTAAACGTCAGCCGATTGCTGATAGAAATTTCATTTCCGAATCTCTCACAATATGCAACTCATATCTCTCTTTTCGAAAAAGCAGCTGTTCCCTATCTACGAGATTTCACTAATTTTCTAATTCATGTCAACTAGTGATATAAACTTATCCTACATCCATTTATTTACTAAATAATACCCTCTAGGTGCATATAAAACATATTTCGCATGCATCTACTTGCGTCAGAGGTTCAGTGGTAGAATTCCTGATATCAGTTTGGGTCTTTGTCGATGTACACCTGAATCTAGTCAAGTGTACTAGCGGATAACAAACTTGTGCCTAAGGCTAAGAAATGTACGCTGTTAAAACATAGCCTCAGCATCTGAAACGTCAAGGTTTCAACTTCCCTGCAGTCACATGCTCCATTCAGAACTCGAAGTAGCCAGAATAGGAATCTTCTTGTACCTCATAACATTTGAATCCCTTTACCTTCTTTAATCCATTGTGCCTCTTGACAATTCCTATCAGTGTCCTCATATGTTTTTGTCAGCCAACGAAATATTATTGAAGAAATCAGATGGGAAAACTTTGCCAATATCTGAGTTGCAATATGATCTTGGTAAGCAGAAAATTGTATGCTTGTAATCCTCCTACCCTCTTCTATGAAGCGTTTCAAATATTGACAACATTATGCAGAATAAAAACAAAGCAGGCCTGTGCGCATATCCTCAGGACATGTAGAACTTCAGTCACATAACACATGCTGAAAAGCCATTGTATCGTATTTGGGAGGAAGTTTCGAGAGGCTGAAATTACCATAGAATATTCAAGAGTGATTCTGCATGGACTTGATTTGCTTCAAGTTTGATCATGTTTTGATATTATGTAAAGGAGCACGGCAACAGCTGCTCCTTCCTAGTTGGGGATTATTATTCAGTGTGCTGCCATAACACCACTGGAACTTGAACCAAAGACATGAAGATGATAAGAAAAAGCTCGTTAGCCACTCAACCAATATAGGCAGTTGTGCAATGGCCATTGAATTCTAACATGTATCACTTCGAAAGTGTATCGTGACCGCCAGGCAATGTCGTGGGCCAGTACATGTCTTCATATCCTATCAGGTGCAAACCATTCGTGTAGAGATGTCACCAGAACTCCAGTTGTCTTCAATTTCGTAATCAATCACTGGCCGGTATAATCACCTGAAGGTCCTTTTCCGACCACTGACAGGTGAGTTAATGCGTGCACACTGTCAATGAGTCCTTAACTATGAATAAACAGCCAGCTGACCATTACTCCAGGTCACTTTCCAGTTATTCTCCTGCTGATATCTATCCGTGACTCCAGCTTAGAAGATGTCGAATCCTGAAAATAAATCCTGAACGTTAGGCAATTCGCCTACTGTCAGAGTGATTAAATTAAAAATCTGAATTTATATGGTCTCTGAATGTCCGAAATAAAATAAACACAATGAGTAGTGAACAGTGATAGAAGGTGGAGAATTTAAGGCAAATTCATTTTGGTCGCCTTTGAATGAATGCCATTCTAATGAATGAATTCTTCTTTCATACAAATATTTGAATCAGTTATTCATTATACAATTTGGATATTTACTAATAAACGCAGTGAGTGTCCGTTGTCAATAATATTTTGTGAATTCGGCCGAATTATTTGTTAATTGACTCTTTAGAACAAATGGATTTGCTGCTCGGTAAAACCAAAGTACTGACTAGATTTCCTACGTAACGAAATTCGACAGAAGCTTTCAAATGGTAATTATTGATCCGTCGAAGTCAACTTTTGACGATGTCGAGCAATTTTCACTATTTAGTTAGACTCAGGTCTTAGATATATCCATTTAGTCATGTTTCATAAAGTTGTCTCCATCTGACTCCACCATTGTCCATAAGGCGTCATTTAATCCCTACAAAATCTCATCAGTGTCATTTTCAGGTGTTCAGCTAAACGTTTTTCATTCGAGGTCAGTGATAATGTCGTTAACTGCAGGTAGCTTTGGATTATCGAGGGTTCGAATCTCCGTAAGGAAACGTGTTGTTCCTTCAGGATTGCAGGTAGAAAACTACTTAGTTTTGATTGTCAAACAACAAATCAAGCAGGACAATTGAATGTCAGACAGAGCTATCTACTTAGATCGCCTTTGTCGATTTTTATTCTTATCATGATTTATAGAATCCAGTCACAAACTGTGTAATGAGATGGAGGAGAAATAGGCAATGCGCTATTTAAACATTGACCAGCTTTGAATAAGATATCCGCTAAATTAATAATACTACTGACATTAATTTACATGTTTAGTTCAACTGATGTCTGAAGTAGAAAAGGTTGAGAAGCTCAGAATTGAAAGGTTTCACAGTAAGTTCGAATTTCACCGGTATAATCATGAATACATAAACGTTTAGCACTGACTGCATTGGATATAATGAATATAGCTCTCGATACAATGCAACGAGAGCGTGATCATGAATTTGGTAAGTGATTCAGAGATGATTAACCTGCTATTCATTTCTTGTGGGATAAATATTTATCTGCTTTCGGAATAATTGTATCATCATTATCGTTATTAATCAATCACGTACTGCTTACATTCTGAGGGGAATAAATACGCCTGAGATGTGTGCTTCCTTACAGACCTTGGTTATCGCCCTCCAAAAGCATTCTCAACTTATGCGGAAAGCGACACTGACTACCACAATATTTCATTCTCTCATCATATTATCTTCTCAGCGTCACACTAGGAAGCCAGGCCAACATGTCTCTTCCAATTCAGATTCTACTGGACGGCTTGGTGTGAGTGATGTCGATCAGTGCTCTCCTCAGAGTACATGTAATTCATCCTCATTTTCTTCGTAATATTTGTTAAGCGACAGGTTCTCATCAGTTTTTTGGATGATAGAGCTCCTCGTCGCTGATCCCTTCTAACTGTTCATCTGATCTTCAATATGGTGCTGGCAAAGGCAGCTGTTGATAAACGTCTGCACTAGGCTATTGGAAATGCTTTACCTGATGCTCCGAATCCCTGACGCATGCAGCACAGTGAGCTTAACACTGATGTCAAAAGTTTGAGTCATGTTGTTTATGCTGAGGAGTGCAGTATATTTCCAAACTAATCGTTGAGTAATGCAGTTCTGTCTTGCCTTTCCGATTCTGGTTATAAAAACGCTGCCCATCCCTACTGAAGTTGAAAGAACTTGTCTTCTGATTCTTCTCAGTCTTCTACACAATCCACTCAGTCATGAACACGCAGATCATCGGCGATCGCCGTTAACCTTGTCTTACTTCGATCCTGGCTTCAACTGCTTCGATGAGTATTACTATAGGAGTTAGCTGGGATGATGCCGGTGATGTATTGCTGGTGTCGTGAATGAAGTTGGAGCATATTTGTGGCACTACACTTTGTAGTGTTCAAGCAACCTTCAAATTACTTCGAGATAGCCTTTCTTCCAAGCAGTAGGTAGCATTTCTTCTTGCTTTTCACACCTACACTTAAGGCGTTAGCACTTCCAGCAGGAATCTCAGACCATTGTAGGTGTTCCTCGAGTACTCCATCTGATTTCAACGTCTCCTCATGAATCTCCGATTTTCAAGCCTTTTGATTTCATCGGCTGATCGGTATTTACAGGTGGTTCTGCGTCTATTGTGTGTATTTCTCCATGAGTTGTGAGCGTTGACCTACATGAGACTCATGTGACGCAATGAATCTGGAGTTCCACTCTGGTTAACCTCTTCCCTCACTGGACCCCCTTCATTACCTTCCACTGTCTTCGTCTTTATTGACCTCTTCCAAGATAGTGACCTGTATTTTGGTCAGAACCTTTCCAACGGATGGTTGAGTTCAACTTGGATAGATTACCGAAGCTGGAAGTGACCCGCATGCAGACATTTTCTTCCCACAATGCTGAAAGGTTTTCTTGCTAGATGACATATGAGACAGTGTTCAACCGCAATAATAACTTTTGTGAAACATGGAAAACTTCCTCAAACAAGGTTATCAGGGAAAACGATCACATCACCATTCGTGGAGAATTCAACTGAGATCATTTCACATTATTTGTTGCCGTAAAATGATTCTGTTTAGAAGGACAATGAAGATTCAAAGTTAAATCACACTAATCAGAAATGTATGGTAAATAGAGTCACCACTAGCCAAAGCAAGCAGGGACATCTATCCCCACACATGGCTTGATGTACCGCCTTGGACATGACCACTCACTCACTACAACTCCAGGTGACGCCATCTCGTAATAAGTCAGTCACTAGAGTAAACAGTAGATGATAACTTTCCTAAATTTACAAATTTGTATCGAGTTTGAGCATGGATTGACATCAGTTAGAGAAACAGCTAGGAGTACTGAACAGCTGGCTGTTTCCTTCTTAGGCTGGTGCTCATTCGCACTACACGCCACCATTCGTTCCAACCGAATGCATTCCGATTACCAGTCAAGTCTGCAGACCATTCCAACTGATGAATTCTAACACGTAACACTTCATCATATTCTGAGCGATCACCACTTGAAACAGATCAAACATCGAGATGGCTGCAAATTGATTTTCACAATATTGTCAATCCACAAATATGTATAAATATGCCTTCATCTTTTTCACAGGTGAGCAATATGTAAGAAACACAGAGGACATGGAGCGTTCATAAACTCAGAAAACATTTTTCTCTAGTGGTGATGGTGTTTCACTAATTCACATTAATAAACATTTTCTCTTTCTCCAAGTCAGTTCTGCTTACAATCAGTCGTTTTTTGTTTCACATAATCTACTTGTATGATTCGAGTTTATCAATAAGACACACGTACACAACCACTGTAACGACTGAAAAAACTATGTGTTATTGTCTGAACTCAGGAGGCCGATCTTCGCGTTGAACTGTAAAGCGTACATAATCTTTCTTGAGTAAGACACAGTATAGATCTGGTCGGATGATAGCTAAACGATAGTTGTTCCCGATAAAACCGGAAGTACCACTGAAAAGTGTTAACATGGCAACAATGCAAAATTATCTCAACAATTCCGTTGGGCAACGATACGCATCTTATTCACTATCAGTTACAAACCAAGTACTGTGCAACCGTAAGAAGCACTAGAGAATATAGAAGAATATTGCCAACATTCTGAGATCGAAACTCTGTCAACAACGGCCACGCACCAAACAGTTCTAGCAGACACTCCAAGGTCACAGCGCTAATCTTGATCTCATTCAAACAAAACATCAGTCGTATGAGTAGGATTTGTCAATGTCATCATACAGTTAAAAAGACAAGCGCTGAAATTAAAGATTAGACAAAAACAGACAAAGACATATAATGAGATTTAAGCCAACGGATGACAGGCGAATGTCAAGACAATGATACGCAGTCCAATATAAAAACCGATAATCAATACGAAGTTAGCTCTCATGTCTAGGGAAATATGAATAATTTAATTAGATCGTTTGAGGTATGGTTTTCCTAAGACATCGTTTCACTTCTATCAAACTCTTAAATGTAGCTCGGTCGTGAGAGAAATCCATTATTTTCAAGTCTCTTTATCTCTCTCTGTAAGTTAAATCCATGATTATTAAGACTGATTAAATTCAAACAAGACATATGTGAACAATATGGCTTTATCTATTGAGGAACTACTTTTTCGAGACAATATTCACATTTTTCAGCCTTGTTATCATCCGACACAAAATAAAATTGGTGTGAGGCATCTCACAAATAGACCAAAAATAATGTGTACCGATAATTTTCTTAGAAAATACACCACGACACACAAACAACGCGCTGGCTCGAATGAGTTACTCTAGTTTGTGTGAAGACATGTGAGATGACTCATGAGTATTGTCTTTAACGAAGTAAAATCCCCTATAGTTAAAGAGGACTGGTTTTTCCTGAAATTGCGAATCAGAAGGGTCGTGGCTAATGATGTTTCCTCACCTCAGACTAACTTGAACCACGATACAAATTTGTGCTGATTGTACCACCTCACTATGTCATTTACCACCTTCTGTAACAACTGATCAGTTAGAATCGCTCAGTCGAAGCCATCTGGGTCTATTACTTCTTTTGTTACTATCCTCTTATATTAACATCCAATTCATCTGAACTTACTAACTGCATTTTCGTTTGACAAATTTAATGTATACGCACACAAAACAACCACATACATTTGCGATTGAACAGCTATGAAAGTGAATTCGCCGAAAAGAGACACTTCAGATTATTACTTTACATGTGAATCCCGTGTGAAGAAAAAACTACTTTGGAGATGAATACGCTGAAAATTTTTGTACCGTACATTTGCATACTGGCTTAAATAAAGTCTAACCATTATTATTATTATTATAATCTTGAAGTTAGATTTAGCCTAATTGTAGGCTTTATTTTTCTGAACGAAGCGTTCATATTGAATGCCAACCCGAAAATTAACATATATACATAACACATTTAAGCAAACAATATTGATTGTTTTCAATTAGATCTCAACAGGCTTAACTCTAATATATATAAGTTTACAAATAAAAATTCAAATATAAACCAATCATGGCGTTCTGTCTATAGGATAATACGATGGTGAATATAAATTTTGCAATTAGTCATAATATTAGTAATGATAATATTAATAATAGTAATAATAATAATAATGGTCTTATCAATAATAAGGATGAAAAATTGAGGCAATCTGTGATAACACGAATAATGAAAAACAGTATGATTAAATAAACAATTGTTCAGGTGGAATTAGTCGATAAAGGCTAGTAAAGACAAATGAACCGATTACGTAATGTTAGTTTGTGAGGGAAGGAAGTGAAACACGTTCATAATGAAGATGTGATAAGATTAAGGGATGATAAGAAAGGGGTTGAAAATATAAATGAGGGGTGGTGTAGACGTCTTTAGTTGGTTACATCTTAATAGGCCAACAAGGGAGGGATAATGGCTGTACGAACTTCTTTTACAACATTCCTTTTATATTTAATGGGCACGTAACTAAGGAAGTGTGTGTATTGCCCTGTGAATGTGATTTTTCTGTACACACTTTCTCGCATGTAACTCATCTTTTCTCCTACTTAGCAAGACATCCAGGAAATGTAGTTTATTCTTCTGCTCCTCTTCACAAATAAAGGTAAGCGAAGGGTGGATGTTGTTGAATTTAAGTAATAATTCGTCTGTGTTAACCTTCTCATCAGCTAAGATAAATGTATCATCGACATATCGGTAATACATATCCAACTCCTTGATGGTATCCTTCAATTTCCCGTTTTCAAGTTTTGCGAGAAAGAAGTCAGCTAATATTGGGCCCATTCATGAAGCCATAGCTATTCCATCCACTTGTTGATAGTATGAATTATTAAAGACGAAGTGAACATTCATTGTGCATTTAAGAAGTAATTATTTGAGGCTACACAAGAGGATTCCTAAGTCTAATTACCTACCGGTGATTTCTCAACAAATATAATCAACTGTTTCCATAAGCGGTACGTTAGTGAATAGTGATGATACATTCATGGATAACATGCGTTTATACCTTACATTAGTCTCGGATATTTTAGAAATAAGGCCAAAGACATCACTAATTCGATGTTGCACGATTTCCCTGTGCAAAGGACCCAAAATCTTAAATAACCACTTCGCTGCTCCGTGAAATGGAGAGTTATACATATCTAAAACAGGGTGAAGAGGAAGACCCGGTTTGTGCTCTTTTGGTAGACCGTAAAGACGTGGAGTATTGGTACCCATAGGTTTTATGGACTCATACTTGGTTGATGATAATACTCGTATTTGGTTCAGTTTTTTGAGGGAGTCGGCCATCAGTTTCTCAGCTCTTACATTGAGGTCTTTAGAAACACCAAGCGATTGGAATTTAGTTTGATCACTCAAAATACCTTCCATTTTCTCAACATAATTGCTTTTGTCCAGTAAAATTATACCATCACCTTCATTCGGCTTGCTAATAATTGAACTTTCGTTGCTTCTCAGTTCTCTTAGAGCTTCTTTGTGTTGTTTAGATAAAAGATTATTTACTAAATGTTTATTATTCTTGTATTGCTAGCAGCTGCCCATTAGCGTCGTTTTGAACCTAGTTAGTTCATCGTCCGACGATGGGGTAAGATCTGACGTTTGAGAATACAAATTTTAAAATTGTATATCAGTGTCTAATCGATAAACTTTAAGAAAAACGTCTCTGCTCACAATCCGATGAAGCGTATGAATTTATGTAAAATGACAGGAAAGAAAAACGATGCATTCTACTGTTTGAGTGGAATAAAGACATCGCTATCCCGTTATCAGTCACACAAATCTTATTCAGAACTAGTCTGAAGAAAGCTTTTATCGAAGGTATTTTCCTAACTTCGATGCGCTGATGGAGTTGTTGATGTGCACTACTTTCCATATCTCCAAAACCAACCTACAGTCATCAATGCCATATGTTCTAATAAGTCACAAACACAGAGTTAACTGATAAAGACAGGCAATTTCCCACTGATGAAATGATTTTATTGTATATAATTAGAAAACAACAAAAAATGTCTTCGACGCTTATCAGTGTCAATGATTACTGGTTCATCTTTTGAGAATATCTTGGAGGACGCTTCTCTTCCACAGTGGCTGTTAAAAGAAATACAGTTAACAATGTCATCATTAGTGGTAAAGTGACCAAAGTTCAAACGAATGTTCGTTACTTAGTGAATTCAAATGACAGGTGGAAAGCGGAGATAATTTGAATTCATCATGATGTGATGTTTACCACACGAAATATAACAACTCACCTTCTCTATCTCTTCAATTGCAAACGGCTCAATGGAGTAAAATTTAGAGGCACAACTGTTGTATGACTCTAATCACACAGGAACACACACGCACCACTGGCGTTTGTATGTATACACAGTAAGCTTTGATCAGTGAATAAACTCCTCTCTTGTGAATACAACTCCCTTCAATTTTATTTTACTTGCAATGTCTTCTTATTTGATATAAATATGAAGATGATTTTTGTCAGTAGAATTTGAAATTCATTCAAGCTGCTGAACTCACGGTATGCATGATCTGCTTCTTCTTTCATAGAATCCAGTAATCCAGTGATTCTCTCCATCGGTTTGATCACTGTAAATATTACGGCTGATTATACATAAATGGAAAACTAAACGCGCGCTTTTCGAGTACTGAGCTACATTTCCCTTATTTATAAAAACTCTCGTTTCTTTAAAATTTAATGCCAAGAGTTTTTGGAAACTATCACAATTATTTACCTTTCGAGCACTCATTACTCTCAAATCTGTGTGGAGGTCAACAGCACTCAGCATTAAAAATAAGATCTGGATCTTCAACTCCAATGTAAAGTCAGTGCTACTATACGGATCAGAGACTTGGCGAGTCATAAGGAGCATCTCAAACAGACTTCAGACCTTCATTAACAGCTGTCTTTGCTCAATACTCAAGATTAGATGGCCAGAAAAGATCAGCAACAGGGATCTCTGGGAGCAAACCAATCAGGAACCGATTGTGGAACAAATAATAATTATAATTTTTCCTTCTTGTTTTCAGTGGAACATGGGGCTTCAAGCTAGTGGCTTGAAATTTCTGTAGCAGTGTTTATTTTACAGGATAGGGGTGCTAGTCTCATGCCCAACCTTTCCTCTTTACCAGCATTATTTTTGGCTAAGCGAGGTAAAGGAGTGCGTCGGCCGAGGACCGAACCCCGGACCATGTGTATGGTTTGCGAGCGTCCTAACCGCTATGCCACCGACGCACACAAACAAATAGGCAGGAAGAAATGGAGATGGATTGGCCATACTCTGAGGAAACCATCAAGTGACATCACGAGACAAGCCCTCGAGT